CCATGCAGTGTGGCGCTCAGATCGTTGGGATGGCTGTTGATGGCTGTTGATGGCTGTTGTATCCTGGGCCGGCAATTTCCATCCATTTCCAGCTTACAATGCAGCACAGTTAGGATAATCCAAGTTACCCGTACCTAACCGTCATGATCCAAATTAATAAAGCTCAGGTTTAGAATTACTGGTATGGTAAATCAAAACATATTGACACCGGATTTCAGTATCCAACCCCAGTATACAGTCTAATACAATCTATTGATATCAGCGCAGCCCGAGTTCCTGAGGCACTTGGTGGGACTGCTGGCTGCTGCCTTGTTTGCATTGCTGAGCGCTTGGTGGCTCTGGACTGAGGCTCGACCAGCCCCTGGTAGGTTAGGACGGTTAGGATGTCACACTAGTTGATAGCAGCATAATCCGGCACATGCTGGCACAACAATCCAATTCCCACTTAAAGATCTTAAAGAAATTTCAGATGTGGATGAAATACATTAACAGATTATATAATTATATATATAATATTGTATCAATGCGCATTGGGTTTGAGGGCAATACAGAACATGCACTAACATCCTGGAGTTTTTTGTTGAACACGTTCTCGCAGTGAGTTCTGTGAATGATCAATTTTTAATTCAATTGTAAGTACAGGAATTACACCCGTTACACCACCAAGAAGCCGTAGGACAACCACAGCCGAGTTAAGGGACTGCGGTTTACATTTCAGGTACCCAGTGAGGACTATGTTCTGCTGGCAGAGGACGAACGGCTGGCCCGCTTCTCGCGGCAATGCTCAGCTGAGGTCGGGTGGCTCAGAAAGTGGCTGGGGCTGTCTCGTCTCCTGTGACCATGGTCCATCTTTAAAGCTTCATCTAAAGTAATTAATCACAATCCAACATAGATCCATATGGTATACCGGTATAAAGTATATATACAGTATACCTCAACATGGGTATATATGTGCTTGAAATATCTCGAAATTGGTTTCCCCCAAGTCATCACTGAGTCATCCATGAATTTGTGGTCATTTCATGGTCATTTCATGATCATTTGAGGTGCTTTTCGGAGTGGAAACAGATCCCCCGAGGGGGTCGCAGTCCAAGGTTCTGCTGCCTGAGGACGAACCAAAAGGCTGGTCCAATTGGTCCATGCACAGTGCTGTGGTCTTGCTGCTGCATGGGGAGGTGAGCCCTCTCCATGGCTGGCCAAAGGACACCTTGATCTGAACCGTGAACCATGAACCATCCTAACCATCCATGGTAATCATGGGGTTTGCAAGCAGGAATAGTAAGGACATGCAAGGCATGCAAGGACCCGATCAAATGATATCAAATGAAATCCTTGGCTATCTTTCACATTACATGGTACGGCTTGGTGACCTTGGTGACTATCGTATTTGGATGTAGTTGATACAGCCCAACCTGGTGGAAGGATCCAAGACCCCCACCGAGTTGGGATTGCCGCCCGGCGGATCTACCCCGACATTGGCGAATCAACAGCCGGGTCCACTTCCAAGTCGTGGCAGAGGACGGAGAGTTGCTGGAGAGGCTAGGAAAACATAGGGAAACCCGAGAAAACCCTGGTATTGCTCCATTGTGCCAGTTTAAAAATTGTTGTGTACTGGAAATCCCTAGCTTAAGAATCTTAGGGTGATCCGGGTCATGTGGAGTCCCAATCTTGAGTCTTTCGGAGGTCCTTCGATCCTGAACTGGATGCCAATGCGAAAGATTTAGATGAGCCCTGGGCCCATCGCAGCTGTGCAGCTGACCAGCTCACCGCGGACGGGTTCAAGCGCCTGATGCTAACGAGCCGGGAAAGGGGAAGTAGAGGTATACCACCATATGAGATAAGTCAACACTGGTATCTGGAGCTTCCCTTTTTGCACTGGGGGCTCCTCAGGACAAAACATGACCTTGGTCACCTGGCACCATCTAGCACCTAGGCAGGCGGTTCTCAACGGTCGGCGCTTGGCTGGCCGCTATGGCGAGACGTTGGCCTCGGCCACACTGGAGGCATACAGCCACTTGAGATCCACTTGGGTTGATTGGTTTGCCCTACGGCCAGGGATTGCTGATTTCTGTTCCGTCGTTTGGTGAATGACACGCCGCATTTATAGCTAACACATTTTATAATATCTTATGGCAATAGTCTGCAATAGTTAAAATATTGTGCTTAGCCTCGTGTAGTTGCGGGCCAAGGGCGGTGTCTTTTTGGGGAAAATCAAACAAACCTTTCGACCAGAGATCCGCAACTCCAAGGCATGGACACGAAGCCTTGCCTCACAACAGCTGTGGGCAGCTTGCTGCCGTTGTTGCCAGAGATGGAAGGAACAGTGCCTAGACTGTCTAGACTGTAGCCAACTAAAACTACAGGTGGGGACCTGGGGGGAGGATCTATAAGTACTATAAGATCAAGAGGCACTAAAGACAGCAAGCTTCGCAATTCTGCAGGACCTGCCCGCTGCTTCAGATGTGATAACGGTCTTCGGTCGCTGCCTTTCCTATTTACTACCTTCTCCATGGCCGACTCCCAAACTATATGAAACAATATCACATATACAATTGTGTTTGGCTATGAGTTCCCATCTTCAAACTTCATTCTTTTGAGACCTTAAGCCTTTTTGCAGATGTTACTTTTTAGGTGATATGGCATTTGTGTGGCATTTGATTTTCCGTAGGTTTTGCCAGGGGACATTATTTTGTGCGCATCCTTGTTTTGGCCTTCCAACAGTCAGGTTTCCATCCGAACCCTGCCCGCCACGGCAGCCAGTGTAGATGTCGCTTCTCAACTTCGGGCCAGTGACGATTTGCTGGCAAGGCAGGTCCCAAGAGCCCAAGAGACGACAAAGTTGTGTAGGAAACTCTCACCGCTGCCTGACATTTTTTTTCAGGGCAAAAAGCTAATGCATTTTTTGCCGTTACGGTAGGCGTTGGAAAAGATGGAAGAACTGGCTAGATCCAGGAACGTTAAAGGTACCTCTGTGTGGGGGTTGCACTACACCTGTTGGGGTTTCCCACCAGCTGGACAATGAAGATTCTCATCAACCAGCTGCGTATTGGCATGCGTTGGCTCTCAGGTGGTGTCACCACGGCAGCTTGCCCTGTGACACCCAGAGTTGCACTACGCCAGCCGGTGCTGCGGCTATGATGTCGCTGGCAGACAAGCACCTTTGCACCCTAGTAGATTCCAGAAACGAAGCTTGGTGAGCATGTCTAGAATCGGACAATCCAGAACCCTTCTTGTGCTTCATCTCAGCCAAAGAAGGGTTGAATCGCTCAGCTCCAGTCTCCAGTAATTCAGTAAGGCTCCACTGTTGAGGTGATGTTCTGACAGTCACAATGAAGACAAGAAATCACGAAAAGGAGCCATTGCTTTGGGCCCTGTCAGCTCAATGTCAGAAGCGAGCTAGAAATATGGCAAAGTGACGCGCGCGTGATACTGCACCGCTTTAGCTTGGCTCCCTTTGGTATCTTTAGTTCTCCATGTTTGAGGGCCATGCCCCAATTTTGCCTCACAATTCTGACCGATGTATGAGTAGCATGTCGCACCCAGGATGGCTTGGCTCAGTGGCTTCGACTTGCCGCAGGGGCCTCGTGCCTTGGGCCGACTTCAGAGCGCTGGGTAGATTCCGCCACGGACGGATCATGTCAGGTCCAAGTATATCCTAGTTTATCCAAGTTTAATTTGCTGCTTCAGGATGTTTCTTTCATGTTTGTCCATGTTCTTTCTGGTCTTTCGGGTCTTTCTCCTGCAGCCAACAGCCACCAAGGCGCTTGACCCTGCTGAGCCTAGACGTGTCGCAGCTGGCCGTGCACCTCATGAGCCTTGGCCTCACTTGCCGTGGTGCTGTGGCCGAGGGCGAGTCCATGCGGCCGCCCCGTGGCTCGATGCTGCTGCTGGAGCGATGGAGGAGGATGTCGTAGGATGTCGTGGGATGTCGCGGGATGTTGTGGGCAGTTGGATGGGCCGGACTATTCCAGACTCCTTTTCTCAGAAACCTTTGGCACAACTCTTTGCACATGCCATAAGTATCCATAAGTGTATATATGTGTATATCATTGTATATCTATCTCTAGAATCTTATATAATTAGTCGTATTAGACTCTTTGGAAATAAAGTTATAGTCCTAAAAGATTGTAAAATCATATCAACATAATTCGCCTGGCATTGGGTCTGCAAAGGCAGAACCGCACATAAAAGCATCCTTTAAAGAACACAACTTCTTTTCTCTCTGCGATGATGTCTGACATGCAACATGCAGCAACATGCAATTAAATGCCCATTGACTGCGTGTTGACATGGCTGGCTGTACTTGGGCTCTTGCCACACCCCTTGTCGGGTGCCAGGCACTCAGATGCCCGCTGGCGCGTTCTGTGGAACGGTGTGGATGTGAGTCAAGAGCTTCCGTGTGGATCGACTGAAGGGCTTGGCTGCCCAGAAGCGGCGCTACTTCGGATGCTGGAGGGCGACAGAGTGCCTTCCAACGGGTAATACAAATTAGAAAAGGCCGTTCTGAGGGAGGCTTGATGTGACTTGCCTGGTTCACATCGTCGTTCACGTAGGACTGGCTCTTCGGTGAGAGCACTTGGTTTCAGGAATGATTTTATGGGATGCCGAATGCCGATGTCCACTGCCCTTTTGAGATGTTTTTGTCACTGCAGCAACAGCCCAAATGAAACCCGGAGAAGTCTAGTCATTCGGCAGTTCTGCAGGAAGTGGAGACACTCTGCGACGAATTATTGGATGCTGCCGATTTGCCAAAGGACCTGCCCCGCTTCGTGCTGGATGATGGTGGCTGAACATGGAGAAGCCAACGTTGGGAATGCCATGGAATTGAGCTAGTTAAATATATAATATAGTATAATATAATATTATATAAGAATATATAGTATAATATAATATAATATAGTATAGTATAGTATAGTCTAATATAATATAATACAATATAATATAATATGACATAATATAATATAGTATAATACAATGACAATCTGTTTGTCACACTATCCGGGAAGAGTTTCGCTGGTCAAAGTCAAGGCAGCAATGGGCAGCATCGAATCAGTAACTGTATTTTCCTGGTGCAACCCGTGCAACTGTTTGGCTAGAGTGCTGAGTTTCAGCACTTCACCGTTTGACAGTGCCCTTTTCGATCTGATCATGCTGCGATCAATTTTCAGTGCGATGATTTCAGGGAACCAAACCTACTCTGCTCCAATGACAATTTCCCCCACAATTCGTCATTGACGAAGGCAATGACATTGTGAGGATTGCACTGACTTGTTACCATAGACTGGGCAACTCAGTAGGGACATGCATCCTATTAGAATGAGAGTTTGCGCATTTGCATGTACTAATATATCGTACACAGTTGGATCCACACCTTTTGCTCCATATACCATTCATATCCATTCATGATGATTCATGTCGCCAGCCTGCTGTCGGCTCAAACTTGACTCATACAGGACACTGTAACCCGAGCGCAAAGTTATCATGCTGCCGCAATGAATTAGACTCTTACTTGGACAAGTGATGCAAATGCTAGTGGAAGAGGTTACGGTTACACATTTTTGGACACACTGAGAGTACCCGACCTGGGCAAGCCATATGGTTCTGTATTTGAGATCTGCATAAGTACAGGAACCCATGAAGACATATGAAGACCATATTCTCTCCAAACAAGCGCCACATGCGTTGATGGGTTTTCAGCAGGGAGATGGTTTCGCACAACGCCCAACTGTACAGCCAGATCCAGCTTAATACGTCCCAGTTGCAACTCGGGCATAACAGGAGTGCTGGCTACGCCATGGTGAAAGTTATACCGAGGATACGGCTGCGAGTGAAAACACCTGCAAGGGCAACCCCAAGAAGACCTGCCAAGCAAAAACCTCGTTTCAGAAGGGAAGCAACCTTAAACCCACCTCCTGACCTGACTGTGTCAAGAGTGCTCTTACCTCAAGTGCAGCCCTGTGATATCATCCTGGAGCACAAGAAGTTCCACCTCACCAAGGTTGAACTTGATCCTTGGACGTAATTGGATGAATTATGCTTTACAAGGGGCTTTTGTTTGCACCGAGTGGGGTTCTGAAAGTGCGAAGTTCCCATCCTTCCTTTTTTCAGATCTTGTGAGCTGCATGGCAGAGTCGAGGACAAGATCTTTCCGCACGACATTCGGGCATGTCCGCTGAAGCTTGGAGCGCACAAAGCAGAGGTTCGACTACCAGGTGCTTCAGCAGCGGTGACAACTGCCCAGGGTTCGGACTTGGCTGTGGTCAACGTTGGCTGCTATGTGCCTTCGCCTGACCAAGTTGGTCGCATTGTCCGCCAGTCCGCGAGACGATGCTTAAATGATCACAAATGTATGGAGCCGTAGATATTTCCTTGGAGAGATGTCCAGATAGTAAATAAATACAGGCCAGGTTTTGCGAGGGACTCATGGTTCTTCCTAGCGTTCGCCTCACCAGATCAATTCCTGAATATTCCTGAGGGCAGTGAATATTTGGTTTCCCCCGCGAGTTTGTCCCAGCGATGGTGAAACATGCAGCCTTTGTTTCCTCCAGGTTTCCTGTGTGGCCTGGTCTCCTTGTGGTCTGGTTTTGGCAGTGGCAGTGCATGGCAGGGAGAAACCCGCGATTGCAGCAGAGGGACCTGTAGAGGGCTTGAGTTCCATACAGCTGTGGCGGGTGGACCTGGGAAAAAATCCTGCAGCGCAACTACGTGTTGGACTTGTACATGAAGGCACACTTGCACCTTAGTCACCACTTTAGCAATGATTCAGAACCTTGCATCCCCGTGCAATAGCCACATTGTCCACATTATATACTGCAAGAATCTGTAAGGTATATACTAGAAAGAGTCAAGAAACGCACGCACCATACTGTATACTGTATACTGGTGTCGAAATGACCTGACTCGCTACCTGTACAGCTGAGACTGCAGATGGCAATGCATTCTAGCAAAATGATGCAAAATGTACCTCTCTTCCAAAATTTCCCAGCGGGCATGGCTGATAGGTGCAGGGGCCCGGAGCTTGCAATGGCTGCCATCCAAGCGTGGGCAAGACACTCGTCACAAGTATTCAAAAGGCAATTGAAAGGAATTCATGAGAAAGACTGAGAGGCTTGAAGCGCATGACGAGATACACGCTGTAGTGATTGTAGTGGACTCCCAGTTGGAGAACAGACTTTTGAGACCTATTGGAGCCCCCGATGACCCCAGGAACGATTAGGACTCCTCCTGGCGGCCTTGGGAGACTTGGCAACCGTTGCCCTCCTCCAACGTGCACTTGTCTACAGTAATTACCACCACATGTTCGTTGAGTCTATGCATGATATCCATGCATTCACACACATGTATATGTGTTATATAATGTTATATATATATAAGTTATATATATATATACATATGATTATATATAGATATATGTATATTATAATATAGTATGATATATATATATATTTATTTATTTATTTGTCTTTGTTTGTTTATTTATTTCAGACGCGCACACCCACACACACACACACTTGTATATACCTATTTATATACACATCTATACATTTCCTATTTGTGTTTCATTTACTGTATATCGGGTGAGAGATTCATAAATATATAGAAAATACATGCCCATCCTTGAGAGACACCGGTGCAGCATGACAATTGCATGATGCTTCATTGGGCATCCGTCTAGATGGAGACGGGTATGTGCGAAGCTTTAGTTGGCTTGTGCACCGTCAACCCATGTGACTGGATTAACTGCCATGAAGTCTTGTACTGTAGAATCAAAAACCCTTAAATCACCTTAAATCCTTGAAAGAAGGTGAATTGTTTGGCACTGAGGAAGCGGCGAGATTTGCATCTATTCTTTGCCAAAAAATGTCTTTGAGGAGAAAACCTTGAGCCGTGCATTGCTCTTTGCACGTTTCGCACCTGCATGGATTGCCAGCTCTGGGCCATCAGGCCTTGTAGCTTTTGGATTCCATTCTGTTAATGATGTGGCTGTACTTTTTCACTCGTTTCAACAAGTCTTCCTATGTCCTTAGTCACTAAAAGATAGTCCAGAACTTCGTTGGTAAGCTCAGATGTCAAACATATGTCAAGAATATGAGTAACCGACACAAATTATTGCAATACGAATTTAGTTTTGCTTCGCCTTGGCCTTTCTGAGGTTGCACAAAACCTTGATAACCGACAGGGGACGACCATATACTGATAACCCATTTGTGATACCTCCGGGAGTACTGAAATCCTCACAACCGATTGGGAACAACCCTAATTTGTGCATGGCATTAAATTTAGCAAATAATTTTTCCCGCTACTCATATATCTATGTCAAACATAGTCAAACATGGTCAGCCGGCCAGAGTGGAGCTTCACAAGGCATTTCGAAGGATCATTTTTCACAAGTACCCAAGCAGGTGCAGAGCCAAAAGCCGTGTGGGAACGCTATCTCCAATGTGCTGCAGCGCGTGCAGACGCCCGGGATCCCCATGGTGCCACAGTGGCTGCTGGCTGCGAGAAAGCAGTGGTGCTGGTCTGGAGATTGAGAGGGAAAGGAACGTTAGCGACATCACCTTGCGCTGTGTACCTCGGCAGATTGGCAACAAGTCCAGTTTCCCAGGGATGTAGAAGTACAAGAACCTGAGCCTCCATGAAAAAGTGAGTCCCCAAGCAGTGGTGCCAAAGAGCCTACAACGTCGCCCTTCTGGTAGTGAGCAATGGTTATCAGATTGCTGTACATCCTGTTGCCACTTTATTGTTTGATTTGATTTTATTTCCCTTGCTTTCATGTATCTATCTATCAATGTTTCATGACTCATCCGAAAGCTGCAACATTGAGAGATTCTTGTTTACTAGGGAACTCTGGGGTTTGCCGTTTCACTCCCTGCTTGTCTCCCAGCATCGTAAGCCAAGTCAACTGCCGTCTGCAATTTGGAGTCAATGCTGGTGCAATACGTGTAGTGTAATATAGTGTAATGGATTTCAGAGGCCTGACCTGACAAAGGGTTTCGCATGTGATTGCTGCGCGGCTGAAAACACCTCGTCCTATGCCAATCGGTGCCAATCGGTGCCAATCGGTGCCAATCGGTGCCAATCGGTGCCAATCGGTGCCAAGGTTGAGACCCAACCTTCAAGACGCAGATACAGTGGTGTCTCTGGCCTGGGCGCCGGCCGAGGAGGAATTGCTGGTAGCAGGTCTCGCCTCAGGATTTCTGGTGCTGTGGGTGTCTCTGCCACAAATCTTGGGGGAAGTGGGGCGACCTCCGCGCTGGGATGAGGGGGAAAAACAATGAAAAACAGACGGCAGAGTCTTTCAGAAATAGAAGTGAGGAAGACAAATGGACCGTGAAAAAAGGTGAGCCGGATTACGAAAGAAATGTATAAGGGTTTTCATCGATTGGAGAGACACCTACCAAGTAAGAAGTCAGAAGTCAAAAGGAATGAAGGCAACAATGCCCAGTTGCTAGCAGCTTTCACCAAACAGTGGCAGCAGAATCAGGCAGAGTCTAATATCAATCTATACCTATATCAATATCTATATCCATATCCATATCTAGTCTACATCTATACACATCACTTTCTCCTGAGGGAACCCCTGGCACAGAATTCAAGAGAAGACTAGCAAACTAGCAAACTAGCAAACACACAGATCGAAAGACAAGGATGATCCCGCAAGAGCCAAGGATCTAGCGGTGCCCGTGGTACCTTTGCGTGCGTTTATGCCTGGCTCCCGCATGCCAATGCTGAATCTCAGTTGGAACGATGCCTCAACGGTCTGCGTACCATCTGAGTGTGTCCTCATTGACATGCGCGACGAACGAATGAGCCAATTTCGACCTCACAGAGGAAGTTCAGGAAAGCATTTGGTACGATGCACGGACATGTGCCACTGCCCTGCTGGTGTGCTGAGCGTTTGGTCTGATGGGGCAGTGCACTTGAAACCGCGGGAACGTTTGAATTTCGGCAAAGAAATGCGCTCAACAAAGTCAGGGAGAGAAGCTCAGACTCTCGGTGAGAATCTTACGAATCTTATGAAAATGAGTGTGCAACCTTGCGCAACATCGTATTATCCTATTGAATGTATTATCCTTTGATCCCGGTTGGAAGCTCTCTGGGAGATGGGGCTACATATGTGGCCCCAAAAGGCATCCACTTTAATAACACAAAGGTTAAGTCAGTTAAGTCAGTCTCCCATGCAACCCGGTTTCATGGAGCGCTCGTGTTCTTCCATTTTTAGACTCTAGACACAGCATGACACAGCTATATATGTTGGACACATTTTGATACACATTAACAAATTCATGAAAATTCGTAAAGCTGCGGGGGCAGCTGCACACACGCACATCATTATATATACTGTATATATATATAGTAATTATATATACACAATACATTATAATACATTATAACACATTATAATACATTATAATACATTATAATACATTATGATACGTTATAATACACTACAATACATTGTAATACATTATAATACATTATAATACATTATAATACATTATAATACACTATAATACATTATAATACATTATAATACACTATAATACATTATAACACATGATAATACATTATAATAAATTATAATACATTATAATACATTATAATACATTATAATACATTATAATACATCATCGTACATTATAATACATTATAACCCATTATAATACATTAATGCATACATACGTGCATTGCATTGCATTGCATTCCACTCCACTACACTACACTACACTATACTACATTACATTACATTGCATTACATTGCATTACATTGCATTACATTACATTACATTTACATGCATACATGCATACATGCATACATGCATACATGCATACATGCATACATGCATACATGCATACATGCATACATACATAGATACATACATAGATACATACATAGATACATACATAGATACATACATAGATACATACATAGATACATACATAGATACATACATAGATACATACATAGATACATACATAGATACATAGATACATAGATACATAGATACATACATACATACATACATACATACATAGATACATAGATACATAGATACATAGATACATAGATACATACATACATACGTACGTACGTACGTACGTACATACGTACATACATACATAGATAGATAGATAGATAGATAGATAGATACATACATACATACATACATACATACATACATACATACATACATACATACATATGTGTGTATATATATATATACACATCAATTAATACGTTGTCTTTGGCCAAATGGAGTTGGGGGCCGGGGTGCACATAACATAAAATGTATCAATACACTTGCAACTCATTTTCTTTGGATGGATGGATGGATGGATGGGTGGCTGGGTGGGTGGGTGGGCGGGCGGGTGGGTTGATATAGGGGAGATAGATTAGGAGAGGTAGGTATGTAGTGGGACACGGGACTTTGTGCGGGCACTTTGTGCAGGCGTGCAGATTTATTGTGGGGGAGACTTCCGAAAGCAATCACAAGTGCCATCAAGTGCCAAAGCTTGCAGTGAGGAAAGATGATTTTTGGCAATGCTGGGCGTTCTCTGGGAACCCAGACTTGCGCAATGCCCCTTTTCCTCACATGGGCTACGAGTGCCCCAAAGAAGAACCCGAGAGAAAGGAATACATTGGCAAAATGCCGCTGGGGCCAAATTACTGGAAGTCTTTTGTCACCTTTCTTCCCTGTTCAGCCGATACATAGTGACATAGTGATCCTATCATATGCTTCACCTGTACTTGACATATTTGATGCGTCCCATATTTGCCATCAAAACTTTCCTTGAAAACCACGAGCTATTGGGAACATGACTGGAAATCTCCGATGAATCTCATGTTTGCACCTATTTTTTTTTTAATCTCCACATGTTTGGCCTGCCCAGTGACCCAGGTTCTTGGAGTATGAATACGAGCTGTTGAATCACTTGCGGCTGTGGGAGACCTCGTCAAAGCACACCCTGGAACTCATCACAGCGCCCAAGGAGGAGCAGGCGATGCCACTGACCTGTGTGGCTTGGCATTGCCAGGGTCAAAAGGGTGACGATTTGGAAACGATGCAGGCCATCCAAGGCAGGATGTCTGTTTCAGTCAGTTTATCATAGTTCGTCATAGTTCGTCATAGTTCACAAAGAATATTAATCTAGAATGGCTGTGAACTATACGCCAGGTAACCCCCAGCCTGACATCTCACAGAAAGACTCACATCAGCGTCAGGTCGCCCTAGCGATTCCCAAGTCTGATGGTTCCTCTATGCAACTTGCCGAAGAACCAATGAATTGAATCAGCATTCAAATTGTGAGAAGCTCTTTTGAATGTCATTGATAATGCTGGCGGGATATGTGTGTAGCTGAAATAAAGTGCCGAGAACTGGGTTTCCGCCCCAGATCAGTCCAATTTGGGTGGATGGATGTGGATGGGAGTTTGGAGTATCAACTTTGCGTTTGCAGCATGTGCCCACGTAGCTACAGTATCCTGCGGTATTGACGCCTTAGAAACCCAGTCAGGCATTGCCAACACACTGCAAGGATCAACTGCTCTCAGAAAAGAACTCTGGAAAAGGGGGTCCTACACCCTCAACAGTCTAACAGCAGTGGCTGCATGGATCATTATCATATGTCGGCCAGCCAGCTGGCACATTGTGAGTTGGCACCCTTGTGTTGAACACATTCCGATGCACCTGCCGAAGAGTCAGCATGGACAGATCTTGTGGCCAGCTGTGGAACATGTCTATTGGTTTCCTTCTGTGAAACGTTGACATGTTGTTGCGGAAAAGTTCGAAACCCGTTAGTTCAAACTCATCATGGATCTAAACATTGGAACAATTTCAACATTGAATCAGTTTGATCATAGACTTGCACTTGCTGCCCTGAGGTTGGCCACTGGAAGCAGCGGTGGCATTGTCAGCATTATGTTGCGAAAGAAAGCTGCTTGAGCCAAGAATCAAAAGGGCATGCTGCTAATCTCCTGACTCTGGTTGCTGAAGGGACAATGCTATGCCGCTAGCAACACTGCCCTTTTCCAGTTGCACCAGCTTTCATGTTCAGAATGCACAATCACTCAGAAGACTCAGAAGCCTTTCACAGGCATCATAGGTATATAATGGTATATATATATAGGTATTATCCCAACCTTCTTCCAGGCAGGCTTGTTGTCATGGGTGCTATTGATAGGCGGCTGTAAATGGCACTCCCAAAGCCAACTCCTGGGCCCCTGTAACACTATGGCCATCTATGGCCGCTATGGGCTCTCAGCCATTTGCCCAAAGGAGTCGCCCTCCCTGCCGTCGATGCCATTGAAGGTTGGTTATAGATGGAGAGTTGGATATCGGCATCACATCACCATTGACAGCATTGATTGAAAACAGTAGCTGACGAGGTCCCAAGTCACCCCAAGTCCGAATTCATCACGAAAGGGTGCAGTGTTGTGGGATGTCGATTGATGCAGGATTCCAGCCAAAGTCCTTAGTTCACCAATTTGCCAAGATGATGCACGGAACGTTGCTACGAAAGCAGTCATATACTGTAGCACATGTAGGGTGTCACTTTTCTTTTTTTTAAGGGTGTCGCACTTGCTTTGAAGTTGTTTCATGGTTCTGTCCTGTGATGTCTCGTATGTATAGGGATGTGAAGAAGTGTTGTGGTCACCGCAGCTTGACCCCAAAAGGATCTGAATGGGGACTTGCCAAGCAACGCAGTCTCAGAGCTTGCAGGTGCGGCAAGATCAGCAGGATGTCAAGGACCACTTTGCTTCAAATCTGATTGCGGGACTCAGTCAAAGGTTGCTAGACAACTTTTTTGGCATTTTCTTGCCAGGGTTGTTCCTAGGTCTCGCCACCCTAAGTCGCGATCAGGAATATGTACAGATCTTATCAAATCTTGCCATGTAACTAAGTGCTGGGTTCGTCAAAAAAGGTCCTCCAGTCAACTCGAGGGTTGGGAAGCCCCAGCGTCCAAGGAGACAGGGTACCAGCGACGAGGTGATCGAGAGAAAGAGCGTGCTGCAGAATACCTGCGGCAGCAAGCAGCCGAGGCCCCTTGCTGCTCCATGAGTCAGACTGTGCTACTCAGAAGCTGCGAGCTTCTGGATGTTCGCGTAATATTCAGCACGTAATGTGGAGTTGTAAAGGCTATTCAAACTCGATCAGGTGTTTGGCCTATCTTGGCCAGTCCAACCTGACCATTTCCCGTTTCCCACCAGCTTCTAGATCTCCGGTCGCAGTATGGCTCTGCAGGAGCAACGTCGCCGTGAGGAGGACTTGAACCGTGAAAGTCTGCGCCTGAGCAAAGGAATATTCTGGAATTTCGTGTGGACCATGAGGATTCTGACTACGCCTACGCTGTGTTCCACGGCTGTTGCCGGTCTAATTCCATATATCCTCGTTGGGCTTGATTGTGCGATTCTGTGAGAGTTTCCTGGAAGCCTCGTGGCATGGCAAAAGAAGATAAAAGAAGTGTTTCTAGAAATCAGACTGCGAAATCCATTACGTTTCATGCTTATCATTGTTTATCCATGTTTGGGAAATCTTGGTGCCCTCAATTTCTGGATTCATTTGCGAATCACACGAGAGAGACCTGCCGTCCTGCCGGCTGACATGAGGAGAGGCACTCCAGTTCACCCGATGGCCAGTAACCTCCAAAGAGGCTAGGGAGCTCCTACAGGCTCCTCAATTTTTTCATTTTTTTCATGTCCTCCATATTGACATTGGACTATTTGGACTTGGGATTGGGGAGTGCCGAATGTAGGTCAGAAATGCTGCTAAGAATGGTAGTACTGGCGCATCTGGCCGCAATGCTGGTTGTGACAGAGGATCAACTGAATGAAGATCATGGCAGATCCATGTGGATCCGGTTCTAGGTTGCCCTTATCCCCTTTGATGGATATATATATATATATATATTACTTCTATACATTTATATGCACATAAAACTGTAGTCAAGGTGGCTCTCCGATTGAGAATGCGGGGAATTGAGTTGGAGGACCCCAGAAAGTCCGAGATATACTGTCATCCAGCGTGATGATGGATGATCTATGTATGTATAGATATACACTGCATGCATAATGTACAATATATATATATACATACAGTATATACATCTGTGTGTGTAGGTGTATAAATACACGCATGTATGGACATGTATGTACCATTTTGTTTCTTATGTCACAGAGGTTTCCACTCCCCTGCCATCAAAGGCAATCCCTTTGCCTGGGGTCAGGGCCTTGAAGATCAAGCGAGTCTGAATTGGTATGGGATGGCACAGGTAACGTTCCAAACTGGGTCCTGTCACCGATCTTGCTGGGAAAGCAGTGGATATTGACAGATATTGACATCCTCATTTTTCGAGACCTTACCGGTAACTGGTACTATATCATGTTCCAGTCCAGCATTTGCCAGTTTTTCTCCGTCGCAGCCATTCCCAATCTGTCATTCTTTTGAGACCCGACTGTACGTTTGGACGAATGATGGAATGGTATGAGTCTAGTATATGTACATCCTGCGCATTGCTGATTTGCTCGTAATACCAATCACATACATCCAATTATACTTGGGCAGGTTGCGATATTTTGCGCCGTAGGGTTGCGCACAAATGTGCACACTAGGGGAGGGCTTCGGACACGATCTTCACAACAATCAACAGCGCAGAACCGTGGAAACTATCCCTAGACAACCTGGAACCTAACTCTGACCATGACCATGCAACATCCACGGATTTGCTCAGCTCACAGCTCCACATGGAGCCCTCAGAGTGTTCTCGACTTTGAATCCGCCCTAAGCGCTTCAATGGGCGCCGGCAAGCCGGTGAAATCGGCGATGTCAAAGGCGGCACCAGTGCAGCCAAGCAGCTCAGAGCCCTCCTTTGAGGAGTGAATGGTCGGAGTATGAGCGTAATTAAAAATATATATATATATATAATATAATATAATAGATAATATGACCATATGTTATAAATATGTTCTAAAGTTATGTATAAGTTTTAATACGTAAGCCAATTATAATATATACTGCCGTGTGTGTGTGTAACTATAAACATACGCGCGCGTACGCATGCAATCATTACCAAATCTAGCCTGCCTACAGTTCTCTCGCAGTTTTTCGAGCTTCCGTGTCAAGTTGTACACCGCTCAGAAAGACATGTATGACTTTCCAAGTGCCAAGTCATCCCAGTGAGCTTGCGTTTGGCTGTACAGCTTGCCAACTTGCCAATCGCCAACCTGTAAGGAGTTGAGCCAGATTATCAGCAGCCTTAAGCCGCAACAGCAATCTGTGCTAGCTGGTCTGCTAGGGACTGCTATTGGTGACGCTGTAGGGCTACCTTTTGAGCTACGAGGCAATAAATTGAGATGTGGCCATGTGAAGGGAGCTGGGCAGATCTTTGCCGTTTGTGGTTTTGACTGTGATGCAGCCTATGGTGCCTTGAGTGTTCCAGAAATGTTTGGGTTTGACCGAGCATGAGTGTGGTAGTGAAGCATCTCCTTGTTTTCGAATTTCAAACTGCTGGCTGCCTGCAACGAAATGAAACCACCGAGAAGAGCACTCCACATGGAGTGTGGGCCCCGGCGACATTGCAATCCAAGGTTGCATGCACATGCAAAAAATCGGAAATCTCTGGATGTGCAGCAAAGCAACCTGGCAGGGTAAAAGATGCAATAAGGACCTTTCGGGAGTAACCAATGTAGTTTGCAAATCACAAATCTAGAAAGCTTGCAATCTGAGTGGTAGCTGGTGTGGTACCTGTACCTGCGGTGTTCCTGAGACGCAGCACGCAGAGCATGAGAGAATTTGTGCCCACCGTGTGACGGTGCCACCGTGTGCCCAGCAGCGGCTGAGGCTTTACCAATCCACAAGGCTTTTTGGAAGACGTGCTGACTTTGATGAGATCCCGACTTCAACGGTCAGGAGGCCTATGGGTTTTCTCAGCCCGGAGGCATCAAATCCAATACGACAGTCAAAAGGGCCCCTCAGATCCCGACAATGCCAAAAAAATCCAAAAGGATCCGCAAAGCATATACTGTAATATTTGAGTACACTGCGGTTGAACAGGATTTCGCGTATATAGCGTATATGTACAGATATACTCGTAGGAGATTGTAGGAGGCAAGAATCTTCAATGATGTCTTAACCTAAAAAACAGTTTTTTCTTTGGACTGGTGACTCACGGGTTACCAGTGTTTGTTGGTACTAGTATCGTTTGAATACTCTTCAAAAGATAGAAGCATCAACCCAGAGCAATATTGACACTTGACAAATTCCCCACCGCTGCGTCGCCAGGAACGCCATTTGGCCGTACCTTTTCAGATGACACCGTTTGTACAGACTTGAAGATGCAGGCTCCCTGAGTCTCTTTTTTTTGTGCGGGAACAAACCTGTAGATTTTTCAGCCAAGTTTCGCTCAGCACTTTGCAAAGCATATGCTTTCTCACATACGAAAGGTGCCGCCTTAGATAGGGCATGAACTTGCCCAATAGCTCCCCATGTTCCCCTGGCCATGGGCAGGTTGTCGCACAGGTTTGCCTGAGTGGTGTGGAAAGGATCTCAGAAGATACAGTCTTCGAGGCCACACTGACAAACTCCTTACTTGCAGCCAGCTGTGCACCATGTCCGGTGGGCGTATGCCTACATACACCATCACAATCATGCACCACCCAAGCATGACTCTGGGAACCCCTTCAACTCAAGAACCCTGAGGTCCATGGCTGGGCTGGCTGGATGCAGTTTTAGATATGCCTTCGTTTAATGCCTTCTGGTTCTTGCAAAGGATCGTGGAGGTTATGTTGGCCAAAGCGGCCTAGCCACTTACTTTTGGAAAATGCTTGCGCGTGTGGTTTTTGACGCGTGGTGCTTGTGCAAGGCCTTACTGCAGCAGTATTTGGCGTGGGCAAACAATGCTGAAGGTGCGGTGGGAAACAATCTGTTCCAAGAGGGGGCGAGGTGTTGATCAGCAGGATGAAATTGATTTTACGCTTTGTTTGTTGGAGCGGCGTCCGTGAGATTCTTGTTGAATTTATGCCTTTTGAGCAGGTTGTGCCAATGTTTAACTTGCCTTGGCTTAGACCTCGCCCATGCTGGGCCAAGGCAACCTCTTTCAGGGATTTGGCGGGTTTACGCCTCTTGGCTTCGGTGAGCTTCTGTGTCCTGTCTCCCAAATCTATCTCTAAATATATAATATATAGATTGAATCTACTGTAACATATACCAGCGCTAGCTGAAGTCCCTCTTGCTTTAGCAAGGTATTGGGGGGCTGGAATCTCCAATCGCATGAAACTTCATAGTTATATAACTACCCCATACTACCCCCCCTTCCCTCACTGGCTGGTTCACAAGCAGTTTGCGCGTGGCTCGATTCCCCCCCTGGGACCCGTCGGCATGTCGCCGCTGGCACCAAAATCGGCAGCATCTGCCTCCTCAGCATCATTGGCATCGTCAATAGCGTTTGCGCATGTTTGTGCTGTGCCCATGCGGATCTTTGACTGTAGACCCGCATGCCTGACTTAACATTGGAACCGAGGATCTTTGGAGCAATTGCACTGACATACTTCTGCTTTTTGTCTCATGACATCATACCAAGCTGCGCTTCCAACATCTTCTTCTCTTGCAACTTCTAACATCTAACCTTTGACAGGCCCACTCCGATGCTGAAGGTGGACCCTTGAATCTTCTTGCTCTTGAATGGCCATCACGCTACTGTACTGAGCGGGAGTTTCCTCGTAATATTCATGTGCGTGATATATTCGTGTTCTCCTTGTCATGTGTGACCTTGACTATACCATACAAATAGCAGCAGTACACAAATGTAGTGTTACGCGGGCCAATGCCATGGTAAGATTGTGTTCTGCTTTGCCGGAACACGGGCTGCTCTGTACTGGCCCCCTCAATGTTCAATGCCATGAAGCACATGTTGAATGGCCAGGTGGAAGTTCATTGCATATATCATATGTTCATTGCATGTAACTTCATACAACCCTCAATCTTTGAAAAGGGTTGATCGAGAACGGATCATCCATGCACTGCGTAGCAATGATGTTATTACTTTGGCAGGCAGGCGCTTGCCAGATACTGATGTCACTGTTTGTAGAGGTAGGGTGGAAACGCATGACGTCCTCAGCTGGGGCTATGGAACTGGCAAATATACCAACGCACATGCAGGAGTCCAACCGTGCCTCAAACGCAAGCTGTTGTGTGAACGCAACGTGGTACAAATTCTCTGGCCCTCCTCCTGAGCTCCAAGGCAGAGGAGGTGCGCTGCGACTCAAACGAACAAGTGCGGATTTTTGCTTCATTGCCTGCTAGTTCAAACCAACCCTATCCAACTGCAGTCAACAAAGCTCTCTGGAAATGGGTGGACGGTGTTGTCAGCCCGCTGCCGGCCCGATGTGTTCCTTGCTTGCTGGGAGACATCAACGCAAAAGTGGGAAAAGAAGCAGCTGGAGATGGATTGCTCGCGCTTTCCAACAAATCTTGACATTGGGCCCTGCAACTCGGAGGTTCAGAACAAGAATGGTGAGCAGCTTCACATTTTTGCACACTACATGTCTGCTGTTAACACATTTCATTCGGTTGGGCCCACGTACTGCGGAATTGCTGCCGGCTACACATCTTGTGTTGACTACACTTGCTTGCCAACCAGTCTGCTTGGATCAGTACAGAAGTGTTGCATATGGCACACTGGAGGGGATGAGTTGCAACTGGTGGCTGCGCCTGGCAAACGTGATCATAGACCTGTTCAGGTGGTTCTGGACCATTCCCTTGTTTCGCCACAGTCTCCTACAGCACAGCACGGCATTGGGACACAGACCACCTCATGCGCGGGGCTTTGCAGGGGGAAGATAGGATCCCATTTGTGCGTGCAGTTGAAGCCCGTTGCCAAGCACTTTCTCCAGAGCCCTACTTGGAATTAAGCTACATGTCAAGGGCCTTCCGACACTGCCTGGCACATGCTTCGTCGCATTGTGGTGGGCCTCCTGACACTAGCTTGGCTTTGCAGCGCCAACACGAATGCAAACTACAGCTCCGAAGTCTGCTCGCAAACTGTTGGGCAGACAAGTTGGCCCTAAACGGCGACGGTATGACAGGCTGCCCAGTTGCAGACCCACGGTGCTGGACTGGACACAACACATGCGCCAAGCTGGTCCTGACGGTGGGTGCAAAGCTCATGTCACAGACCGGGGTCGGCACTTGCAACAACATACAGCATCGGCCTTGTCATGGCACGACAGATACCAAACTGACAGCTCCTGGCGCAGGCACATGCGCATTCTGGCACACGAAGATGTCTCACGGATTGCGCAACAAGTTTGGTATGCAAAAGCGCGCAAGAGTGCCTTTCTGGACAGCGCCAAGTGAGGTCTGGAGAATGCTTTTTTATCCAAACTACAAAGCAAAGCATGCAAAGCCTGAGCGCACTGGCGTTGGTTTTCATGAGCCTACAGTTTCCAATTTCTATTTTCAGCAATGTTTGCACATTTTGTTTGTGCAAATCAGATGCAGCAACAGCGCCCCCATGGATTGGCTGATTGGCACTGTTCCCAAGGCACACAGCTCGACAAACAGAATGGAAAACTTCTTTGCCCGGGAATCCGCCTCATCAATATGCCGGATCCTTTGGGTAAACAGTTTTTTCGTCACCTCTGGCAGAAAGGCGTGCCAACTTCTGCTGGGGCTGCTAGGGACTACGCGCAAATTCCTTTTACGGCCCGGAGCATGTTCACCTTGATGCGGCAGTGGGCCATGCAACGCGTCCTTGTGACAAACAGCTGCTCAAACAGCGACATCGTGCTGCGAGCATCCACATTCAGGCAGCAGATGGCGAGGTATTGCTTGCCGCCGGCAGTGGTGCATTGCAAGGAGATAGTATTGCGTCAGATTTGTTCCTGGAACAGTACCACCCTCTGGTTGACCACTGGCTTGCAAACTTGGACACCGTGGATCCAAAGAGGAACTTCTTGCTTGCATACGGCCCTGTCAACCAGAAGCGCATCGACACCTCTGTCACCACATATGCAGATAACTTGGCTGTTAAGGTTTTGGCAACCACTGCGCATGGCCTGCAAGAGAAAGCAGTGGCTCTTGACATGCTGAATGCTTTGCTGGCCAACGGCGGGTTGGCTCAAAATCGAGCCAAGCAAGAAGTCGTTGTCGTTGTGCCGGTCCCAAGTCCAAGGCTGAGATGCGGGCAATCTACACTGGCACAGTGGCGTTGGAGGGCAAAGTGGTTCCACAAGCGCGTTACCTGGGTGAATTGTGCGCGCACACCACCTCTGGAACTTCTGCCAGACGAGGTCGTCTACAAAAAAGCTCAGCTGGCATGGTGCTCCATGGGCTCCTTCTAGACACGACAGGGATGCTCTGGTCGCAGTGTCTGCATGGTCTTGCGAGCTGTGGTTTTTGAGCCATATGTGGACTTGTCCTATTTATCCTTAGCAAGTCCGATTTTGTTGCTCTTGATCGCTTCGCCACCAGCAAGGGTCGATATCTCATGCGAGGTCAAGCGTGTGTCAAAACGGTTCAAGCTGATGGCAGTATCAAATACGCAGCAATTTCCAACGATGATGTGTTGGGCTATCTCGGGCTTGCTGACAGTTTCACAGAGTTGCGGATCAGAAGGCTACAATTTTGGCAACGGAGTGTGGCATGCCCTGAAAAAGTGCACGCCGTTGTGGCGCGAAGCACATTTCGAAGTCAAAATGTACAAAACACACCATTCTCGGACCACTTTTGGAAGTTGAGATGTCGAAAAAGTGCACGCCGTTGTGGCGCGAAGCACATTTCCAAGTCAAAATGTACAAAACACCTCAGCTTCGGACCACTTTTAGAAGTTGCGATGTCGAAAAAGTGCACGCCATTGTGGCGCAAAGCAAATGTTAAAAGCTCCAGGGGTTCGGACCACTTTTGGAAGTCTAGATGTCGAAAAAGTGGACGCTGTTGTGGCGTGAAGGACATTTCGAAGTCAAAATGTTAAAAACACATGTTCGCGCCACTTTTGGAAGTTGAGATGTCGAAAAAGTGCACGCCGTTGTGGCGCGAAGCACATTTCCAAGTCAAAATGTACAAAACACCTCAGCTTCGGACCACTTTTGGACGTTCAGATGTCGTTCCGCGTGGCAGGCGCAAGGGATTGTGGACCTTGTCAAAAGTGAGCAAAACGTGAGGGTTTTGTAGCATTTCCAAAAACGATGACAGGCGTGGGACATTGGAAGAGGATCTGCAAAGATGCATTTTCCGTAGCAGGCGCAGTACAAGAGACATCTTCATCAGAGCTGCTAGGAGGTCCGGGCGCTGATTTCCTGAGACAGGTTCCATTTTGGAGCCTCAGATCTTCAGTTTTGCTGAGATGATTTTGCGTGACAGGTGCAGCACTTGTATGACCTGGCATCACTTTTTCGTGGCAGGCGCAGTACTTTAGACAGGTGGAGTGGAAAAGTCGCAAAACGCATTGGTACGAGGCCGTCAGCTCTGCACTCAACTTTCCATTTTTGAAGATTTTGAAGGAAGTCTCGCAGAATTCTTTCGTTTTTGATGTTGTCAACTTCGAAAAGTGAGGACGTCCCGCAGAATTGCTTCGTTTTTGATGTTGTCAACTTCGAAACATGAAGATAGATCAATAGATAGACAGATAGATAGATAGATAGATAAATAGATAGATAGATAGATAGATAGACAGCTAGATAGATAGATAGATAGATAGATAGATAGATAGATAGATAGATAGATAGATAGATAGATTCATAGATAGATAGACAGACAGACAGATAGATAGACAGACAGATAGATAGATAGACAGATAGACAGATAGACAGATAGACAGATAGACAGATGAGAGAGAGAGAGAGGACCTCAACCACCTTTCGGTCCATCCGTGGCTACGCTCTGCCATCCGTGAGTCACAACAACCAACCTCTCCTATAGGTTTCCTATTTTTGAAACTTCCACCACCGCCTTGTGCGGTACTACTGGTTTGCTATAATGTAATGTGAAATAAAGTAGAATAAATAAAGCAACATAGTTTTTTTTTATAATTCAACATAAGATAAGATAAGATAAGCGCACTGAAAGGTGCTTCGCTCCCCCCCGCAGCAATTTTATTATGGTTGATGGAACCAATGAAATCCACACCGCCAAGCTCAGGAAAGATTTGCTGAAGCCATCGCGGGAGAACCGCTTGGGCAGATTGACTAGCATTTGGAAGCCAAACACCAACTATTTGCCCTCAGCTCCTTGGTTTCAGATGAAGGGAGTTGATGCCATGCCTTTATGTTTTGCCTAAACTTTTGCTCCCATGCGTTGGCCCGTTTGCTCCCTGAAGCCTCCAGATGATATGACATCCCCTATGGTGGCTGTCATATCCAGACAATATGAGTGACTTGATCATGTGAACAGAACCTCGCAATGGCCCAGTGATTGCCTGAGGAGGAGTACAAACAGTTTGCCCAGGAGCATGGGTCGAGAAATCTCTTCAGCAACTGCTGCAAATATCACACCACAAAATGAAGTTATCAAGGGTTGTGGCACGGATCAGCTCGGAATCAGCTGGGAACACCGCCGTGCTATTTAGAATTGGCAGATACGCAAGATCCCCAGTCCCCCTTTTCCTCCAGTCAAGTGATGGGGACGCAGGAGTATTTTGCGGGGGTTGGCGGCGTTCCTTCCTGGGGGAATGGAGCGGTGATGAGCATGACGCCACAGGTCAGTGGCTGAAACTGGGGATGGTTTGCAAAAGAGTGGAGTTGGAGAGCTGCTGGTGATGGGAATTTGCTCGGGTAACCAAGGATGCAATGAATGGTATACATGCGGTGTACGTTCTTTTCTGTAAGGGCCGTGCGGTTGAGACTTCTAGTTAAGAACCATGCCCTTAAGATCTTTTAAGTAGGTGCAGTTTGCTTGTTGTTTGAAAAATGTTTTCTGGCCCATGCCACACACGGATCCGGGGTACCGTCTCGTTGGGAGGTGCACATGCAGCTGCAGGGCGCAGGACGGGTGAAATCCATCTTGAAGTCCAGTCGTGGTATAAGTATGCATAGAACGGATGAATATCTTTCATTCATGCTAAAGATGTTCGGGTGCTGCTGACTGAAAGCTGCTTGATTGCTTCTAGAGAGAACTGGCCCTGCATCAGTAGTCACTCAGTGGTCCAAGAAGTATCCAAGAAGTCAATCAGTCAATTTGATCGCTGAAAACGGTGTTCCGGTCCAGGCTACCCTGCAGGAACTGGATTGTGGGTTTGTTGCAATTTGTGCTATGATCTTCTGACCCCTTAAGATATTATTGTAATTATTTAATATGCGATAGAGTGTGTATGTGGAGCACTTGTTTGAGGACGAGCTGCTCAAAAGCTGTCCGCCACACACTTGGAGGTGGGCTTCGAGATTGTAGGAGCTGCTTTGGATGTGCGGTGGACTTGGGGAGAACAGATGAACTTCATTTATATAATCGGACTTGGAAGATGAAGTGCTCGTTGACAGCACGTGCGATCTTCTCCGGTTGCTTCCTGGGCCAATTCCTGGGTCTCCAGTTTCAAGCCATGCGCACCACGGGGAGTGGTCCCACTAGCGAACAGGGAGTCCTGTGTCCTCAATCGTCTCTGTACTTGAGCACTCTCTCTCTCTCTCTTTTTACTTTTTTTCCTACATGGTTGGGAAAATGACGTTCAACACTTTCAGACTTGGGACCCCTGTTCTCGACCTTGTCCATACATAGACCATCATAGACCATTATCGAAGGAAGTTTGGAAGTCAAACTTCCGACAACATGGACAGATGAAAAGCAGAGATGGGAAGAGGCAGAGAGAAGAGAAGAGTAGAAGAGAGCAGATCAGAGAAGAGAAAGAGTCAGAAGAAAGAAGATGCAGATGCGCGAAAAGGTAGGAAAGTCGCGAAACACAGTGTTTTTCCAATGATTTGTGGCTCCGGAGGGTCGAAAAGTAGGCTCGCTAAAGCGGCGTGTGCAGAGCCATCTGGCCAGATGAGAGATGAAAAATTGCACGCGGCGTGAAGCACTTTCGAAGTCAAAATGTACAAAACACACCAGGTCCGGACCACTTTTGGAAGTTGAGATGTCGAAAAAGTGCACGCCATTGTGGCGCGAAGCACATTTCGAAGTCAAAATGTACAAAACACCTCAGCTTCGGACCACTTTTAGAAGTTGCGATGTCGAAAAAGTGCACGCAGTTGTGGCGCAAGCACATGTCGAAGTCAAAAGGTTAAAAGCACCAGGGGTTCGGACCACTTTTGGAAGTCTAGATGTCGAAAAAGTGGACGCTGTTGTGGCGCGAAGGACATTTCGAAGTCAAAATGTTAAAAGCACCACATGTTCGCGCCACTTTTGGAAGTTGAGATGTTGAAAAAGTGCACGCGGCTGTGGCGCAAAGCACATTTCGATGTCAACATGTACAAAACACGACATGTTCGCGCCACTTTTGGACGTTCAGATGTCGTTTCGCGTGGCAGGCACAGGGGATTGTGCACTTTCTCAAAAGTGAGCAAAACGTGAGGGTTTTGTAGCATTTCCAAAAACGATGGCAGGCGTGGGACATTTGAAGAGGATCTGCAAAGATGCATGTCGCGTGGCAGGCACAGTACAAAGGACATGTTCATCAGAGATGTTAGGAGGTCAGGGCGCTGATTTCCTGAGAGGGGTTGCATTTTGGAGCATCAAATCTGTCAGTTTGCTAAGATGATTTTGCGTGACAGGTGCAGCACTTCGTATGACCTGGCATCACTTTTTCGTGGCAGGCGCAATAATTTAGACAGGTGGAGTGGAAAAGTCGCAAAACGCATTGGTATGAGGCCAAGGCCTCTGCACTCAACTTTCCATTTTTGAAGGAAGTCTCGCAGAATTGTTTCGTTTTTGACGTTGTCAAGTTCAAACATTGAGGAAGTCTTGCTGAATTTTTGTGTTTTTGATGTTGTCAAGTTCAAACTGAGGAAGTCTCGCAGAATAGCCTCGTTTTCAAGCTTGCAGATAGATAGACAGACAGACAGACAGAGAGATAGATAGATAGAGAGCTGAGCTAGATAGATAGATAGATAGATAGATAGAGAGATAGACAGATAGCAGATAGACAGATAGACAGATAGACAGATAGACAGATAGACAGATAGACAGATAGGCAGATAGACAGATAGACAGATAGACAGATA